CTCTCTCTCTCTCTCTCTCTCTTTCTTCCCCCCCTTTCTCTTCTTCTACTTTAATGTAATTGTAACATAGGTGTATTTCACATCCGTACGTTATTGTAGCCCCATTTTTCATATTTGTGTAAATTTTTGAAAAAATTGTACACGTTTCACAGTAGAAATTACTTCGTTATGATAACACCTTATAGGCACGATATCTCTTCTGTAAATCCTGCTAGCTGTATTTGTTATCTTATATTCAAAGTCAAATAGATTATGTATCTCAATACCATTTTAATCCAATTAATATATAAATGCATGTTATAAACGTTTTGCGACACGGGCAATTTTATCTCATGGCATTTCTTAATTACACACGCAGCGTTGGCATTTCATTTAGATTCGAAATCGATAGAAAAAAGGACTTTCAAATAGATAAATACAAAAAAAAAAGAGAATAGCATATTATACTAGAAAATTGTCCTCAGTTTATCCTATTCTACAGTTAAAAAAAACTCTTGGTTTAAAATATATTTCCTCCTATTTTTATACTTTTAAACGTTTATCTAAAAATAAGATAAAACGTAAAAATGTTTGGGATTAATAACCAGACAGTTATTTTTCGCAAAATGAAGATTGCTCAAAATGAACCAGAACGGAACGCTAGAGTTAAATTATGCATGTATATTTATCCAAAATATTGATGTGAAACGGATTTCTATGTTTATAAGAAGTATATATATATTTATTTATCGTCATATATATTTATTTATTGTCTTACCTTCCATCCACAGCGTCAATAGTCTCTGCTCGAATGCCGAGTTCGTCGAAGAGTCTCTGCATCCTTTTACGTCTCACCGGTCTCCTTAACAGATTAATCATGTAGATGCGATCCAGACCCAGGGTGTCCTTCTCGGGATACATCACAAAGTCTTTCAAATCATCCGACAACGGCAAATGGTCGCTGAATGCTGCACAAAACGCGATCGCACTATATCAATCAACATCGTCAACATGATAATATTGTATATATGTCGTTCTCAATTAGATAATATGTATCATGCCAGTGGAAAATACAAATAAAAACAAATTATATTTATGGCAAGAAATGAGATCAATTTTCACTTATTTACATTTTCGCGATGTCCATTTGCAACTACTTATTTATTTTATTTAATTATATTATGGTCTTTTCTTACAAAAGCAAGCTCACCCAACATTTCCACCTTGGTATTAGTCAATCGTTGCATATCCTCCGCGATAGTCTCATCATTCTCCAAAGGCACCATAACGAAACCGTAGATATCGTCGTTGCACACAAACAATGACACATCTGTAACGCAAACACAATACACTTTTATGTATTTAAAATGAAAATTTCGTGCAGTAAAAATCAAATCTAATTTTTTACAGAATTAAAATTAATTAATTAAATCAAATTGACAAAGGTAAAGTAGACCGATAATTTTGAATTAGCATTTGATTGGTGATAATCTCTCGCACTATTATTTACAATTCTTAACTTTAAGCATGTGAGAACTTAATATATAAACGATAACTTTTAGTACCAGATTTATTTGCTCCTATGGCGAAAGTTATGATATCGTCCACCGGTCCGTCGTAACGGGTCAATTTTTCGGCCTTATAGGTGAGACGATCTGAGTAGCTTCTTCTCAGATCTATGAGAACCGCGCTGTGGATCATGGGCACGTTATGGCAGCCAGTTTTCTCGCGAAATAAGATCGGCTCGTAGAGCTCCGTTCGCAAGTAGTAATACTCCGCCGTCATTCCGGCCCAGAAATTGCTGTACATGCCGTCCGACTTTAATAAGGGCGCAACGACGGTGTGCCCTTTACGTGTCAAATCGCGAATAGTACTCGGATTGGTCAAAAAAACGTCGGCATCCAGCATCTGCAAAAAATTCTCTTTTCTCATAGCCCTTGAATAGCTCGTAAATTTATTAAATAATTGGAAAAAGTGACGCAATTCTCTATAATTAATTCCGCATTCTGTTACGTGTAACTGACAGTCTCTAACTAAAATTTCACGTAAAGTTGATCTCAGGTCAACTTATACATCTGCTATTAATACCATATCTACCAAAAAATGTAAATTAACTTTATTTCAAATAAATAAATAAAAGTGTTACGCTCCAAGTTGAGCGTAATAAATCAATTTAAATAATAAAAGACATGCCTTTTGGAGCAAACGTACGCTGTTATTGTGACATGAACAATATTCTTTTGTTATAAATAATTAAAGCAAGTTATTAAAAACGCATACGTTTCGTTCCCTTAGCTTGGGTCCCCTTCAGTGCGAAACAGTTTGAACACGTGGATTACATCATTCAGTACCAAACAGTCAGATGATATATAAGACGCATCTCTATAGCAAACTTCGTAAGTTTCATATTCGCTCCCTCATTCTTGGTATAAATGACAACTGACACACTAGTCCTATAGTTTTACTACCAAGAACGAGGGGCCGAATATGAAACTTACGAAGTTCGCGAGAGATTCGACTTATATATCATCTAACAATAAGTGTTTCATACTAAACGATGTAATTAATCCACGTCTTCAAACTGTTTCGCCCTGAGGAGGAATCCAAACCAAGGGTCGAAACGTATGCGTTTTTAATAATTTGCTCTAATTATTCATAACAAAGGAATAATATTCACGCCACGGTAACAACTCCAAAAGGCGTTCTTTTACTATTTTAATTGATTTATAATTTCAATTCTTGTTAGAATAAAAAGACAAAAAGTATGTTAAAGTTATTCTACAGCTGTGGACGTAATTAAGATTTAGAAATGCACATAAGAGTGATTTTAACTAAATTAATTTAATCGGTGATTAATTTATCAAGCAATATGTATTATTTCGTTAACATGGATGGAATTATATTAACTTCACAAATAGCACAGAGTTCAAAAAGAATTCATTCGTATATATTCAGTCGTATATATATATGCCATCAATTCTGAGTTTATTTTTAGGTGCAAAAAGAATTCTTGCATCTGAAAATGAACTCATCAGAATTGATGACATTTAACTGAGCTCTTTTTCAACTCTCTATGCTATCTGGAATTTTGTTGTTTAACGTATGAACAAAATATTACAACAGGGACAATAAGATATAATTTAAAATTTTATACTTCAAGCAATTTTGCCAGTTGAATTAATGACCGATTACATTAATCGAAGTTCAATCAAAAAAAAAGATAATAAAAAACAGTTAGCTCACCAAAATAAAATCCGCCCATATTTCTCTCGCGTAATCGAGCGCCTGCTCGCGCAAATCTATTATGTGCGCAAATCTGCGAGGAGACCAATCTGCGATCGAACTCTCGTCCTCGAAACCGGTCGACGACGCGTTCAAGCGAACGTTCAGCGAATGATACATCTTGCTCCTCGAACCGATCCACCTGTTCAGTATCTTGATCGAGTTGTCAACATTGTTGTCGCTGCGTATCCTGAAAACGCGATTTAACATAAAATCTTCGCGTCTCCGCCGCGCGACTATTTTTCCGAAAATTACCTAATCACGCGAAATGCGCCCGTAATAAATCGCGTATTCGTAAGACTATCCGCACATAAACATGCGCAATGCATTACGTTCCATTAAGTACTCATTTTGAACTTAACAGTAAACTTGTGTTAACGCACAAACAAATTAATCCAGGTAGCACCTTGTAAACGTTTCTGAGTGATTAAAATGTCCACTCAAAAAACGTTTCTTTTTGGTAATAAAAAAAAACGTAGAGAAATATAATCGAATTTATTATTTTTTTTCTATCGGTGAAAAAGTTTGCTTGAAAAGAACGAATGCGCAAGCTTTTTTACAGATAGAGAAAAAATGATATTTCGATTTTTTTTTTACCAAAAAGAAACGTTTCTCTAAAAGTTTTTCGAGTGAACGCATTTTAACCATTCAGAAACGTTTTCAAGAGTTTGTTATGAAATGTTTCTGTAACAAATAGGTGCTATAATCTGGGAATCGTAACGTTATATAATTAAAGAAAGTTATACAGCCGTTATATATTTAATTTGATAAATTAAAATATTTCGTCAATTAAATTTACGGATAACAATCACGGATATTCATGTGCGGACAGTCTTTTGGCCTTCCGATCGCATGCGGCGCCTGGGCTGCGCCTTCAGGAATTCACACGGTATATAATGTTATCCTTGTTGTTCACCGAACGTCAAACAAGGATAAAATAATGTACCCAGGCGAAATGAACGCAGCCCAGGTATTTACATCCGCGCGTGCCTGTGAATCGACGTGCGTTTCCGCAAGCGCCGCATCGACTGGCGGGCAACTTCAAATTTATAAATAAACTTCGAGCCGCGTCGGAGAGCGAACGAAGATACGCGCCGATGACAGAAAATCCCGATGGAAACCATCACCTCGAGGTATCTATCAATTTTCTCGTATTAGCTCGCAATCGAGAAGATTCTGTCTCATCACAATTCGTTATAAAGCTGACTTTTTTTTTTTTAAGTAACAGGAAACGCGCGTGAATTTTTACGTGTCTTTTTTTTTTAAATCGCGAAATGCCGATTTTTGAATTAATTGTAAGTACATACGTCGGACACCCGCAAAATCGTCACGTCGACGGATATTAGGTGTTTCCGCGAGTTTTACACGGATATGTCGTTGCCGTGGTGCAGGAGTGAGGTTATGTGTCTCGCCACTCACCAAAGACCTATTCGCTTCTTCGGGTAGTCTTGCCGCTCCAGCAGACTGAGGAAGTACGGCAACGTGTGCGCCTTATTCCTGACTAGGACGCCGATCAGCACGGTCGGCTCTTTCGGGATCGTGTCGCACGTAACCAACAGCCACGCGGGACCGACGACGGAATGTACGATCAAATACCCTCGCAGGAGCATCGCGATGCGGATGTGAAATCGATACATTTCCGGATCACGCACGTGTCTTCTCGCGTCGGCCTGTTGGAAAATCTAGATGGAGGAATGTAGGGATTGCGCGAGGAGATGACCCCCGAATTACATGCGATCTCTCTGTCTCATCCTTTGCCCGCAGTGCTATCGCGAGTATCGCCATCATTGAGTTGTATGTATTGCACATACACGCGTGGGTGTCGTACTGTGCCGTGGGTGTGCGCGACCGATAAAACAGGAAATTATGTATGCGACGTCACAACGGTTTAATCAATTTTACATGTTTTTTTATATCCATTTTCTATAAAATATCTCTGAAAATTTTTCCACTCTTTTAAAGTTTCGTATAAAAAAATATATCATCATACGATTTATACAAAATGTCTATACTTTACTACGAAAATACACATCGATCGGCAAAATCTTTTCCAGTGCTATACTTCGGTCGTATTTTTCCTACAATTTTAATTCAACTTTGCCTCCGAAGGAACAGCTTCTTTCGCTTCTTTTGCTTTATTGTCCTCTCTTGGTTTCACTTCCTCCGATTTCACCTTCTTCCTTTGCTGATAACTAAGTCTGGTTTTGTCAAATTCCAGAATCATTATACCTAAATCCCCGCTGTATCTGTTCTTCGCAACCTGGTGACACGGGAAATGCGATAACTCATCACAGTTGGAGAATTGAAAAATATACAAGTCTAACAATTTCAAAGATACACACCTGTAAATATTTCTTTCCCTTTATGCTAGTAAGTCTTTTGTCCTGTATGATCAATACGTTGTCGGCCTCCTGACTCGCCTTAGCGCTGCCAAAAATGGACAAGGTTGTCAATTCGTCTTCTCGCTCCTTCCTCGGATGTATAACCAACGTAACGTGGCAATTGTATTTTGTAGAAAAATTCCTGAATTCCGCTATGATCTTGTCCTGTTTCCAGAATCTACGATACACACGCTGTATGTAAGTAAAATCCAATTTCTCGACGAAAGGTAAAATAATTCGTCTCACCTGTCGGTTTCCATTTCTTCCGACATGCCCATCATGAACTGCATATTGTCAATTATCACATGAGCTATATCATGCACGTAAGTTGCATGCTGAACTGCCTGTGTGAAATACAAAGGGAAGAGACGTAAAATTATACATAATAAATTTTTTTACAATTGTTATAATGAATAATCATATGAGCGTACATCCATAACAACTCTGATGTTCTGCTGACCGTGGAAGGTCATAAAATAAATCGGTAATTTGGTAAAAGCGTCTGCATACGTGTCGAATTTATCCAGATTGTCTTCCAGAGACACCTCTGCCATTTGCTGCAGCATGGTTTTAGCTAGGCGAGCATTTCTGATTTCGAAACTACCCCACAGCGTGTTGACACCTTGCATTGCTAAATCTAACGAATACTCGCTCATAAACGTAGTTTTGCCACTCCCTAAAAGTCCATTGATATATGTACAAAATATTATTTTACAAGCAGCATCTTTTGATACAAATAATTTAATTATCTTTTCAGCCGTTCTTTCAGCTGATCTATCATTATCTTACCAGTTGGTCCCGTTAGTATCGTAAACTCTCCTCTCCTGTGCCCTTTCAAAATTCGACTCAAGGCAGGATATCTTTTCCACTTCACACCCTGGACTCTATCTATATTCTGCAAATCGCACAGCACATCTTGCCTGAGATCGTCGAAAATAGTAATACTTCTATGCCAGATCGGCTGGGCATTCTTCAAAATACTCTTCAGGTCGTAGCCCCTGTCGGCGGCTAGTTTCGGTCTGGGTTGCGTGTCGATCGGTCTCACGAAGTAGCACCTCTTCTCGTTTAATTTCTTAGCGAATTGCCTGGCTGTATACCAGCTGGGCTCGTCGTTTCCGAACCACAGTATTAATTTCTTGAAACTTTCGAAATTCGGCAACAGCTGCTGCGGCAAATTTTGCAAATTGTACGGCAGGCAGACGATCACGCTCGCTGCCCTTTGAGACACTAGCGCTAATAAATCGTGTATCGCCGGCACAACCACCGCAGTCGCGTCACTTCTGGTATTTTTTTGCTTGTAAATGATAAATCCACCAACATTCGAGGTAGGTACGGTATGTTCCAATTCGGGTTCACTGGAAAGGGTCTTGTAACCCGTAACACTGCCGAAAGCGATTAATGGAAAGTATAATAATCCTGGTTCAGCCGCGTATACACCATTTAACTGTAAAATGTCCTCTTGCGAAATTCTCTGTAATAATTTCCATTAATTTGTAATATAAATACATTCATTGTAATATAAATACATTCATACTTATAAACACTAAATCTATGTTAATTTAATTATCTTACCGGGAGAGAGAATGTATTCAGAACTCGCTCGTACGACTCTGACGATAAATTTGCAATTGGCTGATTAGACTTAATTATATTATTCCATTTTGTTTCATAATTTTCTTGAACTTTGATGGCATTTCTCAAAGTTTTCAATTCCTCTTGCGTAGCCTTGTTCGATCTTGTCAAAAATTTCTCCAATATATTCCATTCTCCCTTAGAATTGCATCCGTCACATAGAAAGTATCCTGGAATAAACAAGTTTTTATTAGATAAAATTATGTTTTCTTACTTATCTGATTTATGCATACCTTCTGTCAAATATCTTGTTACACATTCCTATAGTATCTTTCTTTTTACCTGTTGTCTTATTAATATAAATTTTTGTCCTTTTAGGTTTATCACAGTCACATATAGGACAGTGATTGTATTCAGTGATTATACACGCATGTCCCTCGATGGTGGCGATATGTTTTTGCTTCAGAATTTGTTTTATTTGAAATAACGACACTCCGGGTACTGGCTCGTTCATAACGTTACTAACAGTGGAATACAAACGACGGTAAACCATCCGAAATTTATCACGTCCTTCTACAGTCAGAGAGCGCATTAATAATTTTAAAGACATTTCTCTTGTCTAAGCGAAGCCTCGTCGGCATTTGAAATTACTTCTACCAACACCGACGTAACGAGAGACAAACTCGGTGTAGCGGTGGAGAATTTTATCTACATAATCATATCTATGAATCGCGGTATAATTCGGTTCTTTTATTAAATTGTCACGATGTAACGTCCAAAGTATTTATCAAGCCACAACAATTACAAGTTTCTCGCGGGAGAATCACATTTGTTTATCGTCATTCGGGTGTGACGATTACACGCGGAACGACAGCTTCACATAATTCTCGAAGTCAGTAGGTCTTTACTGACGTTTTTTTCAAGATGAATAATTTTTATATTTGCTACGTTGATACGTCGATCGAAGAAAAACCGGCGTGCAGAGCACATGATTGTGAGGTTATGGTTTACACAGGCCCGCTCTACAGGCTTGAAATATTCTGCTGCCCGATTCGTTCCGATTGGTTCCGAACGGTTCCGAGCATGTATTCCGGATGATCTGTTCATTGACGGTAGAAAGAGGTATGTTTTCTACACTTTTTACACTCAGAATTATTGTTTTCCCTAAATGTCCACCACGTGTTGATTTTCTACGCAACGTAGATTAACTTTGATCTCGATTTAACTTTAGTTTTTATCCTCTTCTAAATTCTAAGAATTAGATGGAGAGTAAATTAGACTAAGAAAGTAAGAATACTAAGATTAAAGTTAATTCACAATGGTAGAAATGAACCAATAGATTGATTCGTCGCGCATGCACGGGCGTCCGCAGGGGGGAGGCAAGACGGGCATTTCACCCCCCTCCCTCACATTGAAATCAGACGAGTGTAAAAAATTCAGAATTTGCTCTCTCATTTTTACAAATGATAAATATATTTGTCAAATGTGAGAGAGCTAAAATACAACACAGGTACACAACGTTCGGACATTTGCTCCTCGCGGTAGTTCGTACTAAAAATTTGGATCATGCCCCCCCCCCCTCTAATAAAAAACCCTTTGGACGCCCTTGCGCGCATGCGCAGAAAATGGAAGGAGGCAGGAAGGAGTTCATAACCTGTTACCTGGGTAAAACAACTGTATACACGTTGTGCACATGTAATTTTAATTGTCGTTTGCGCTTCATTAAGTATCGAGTCGATCGCGGTACTTACAAAGCAAAAATATTGTCGAATCAATGCCAGCTTTTCTGACCGCTTTTTGACTGTTATTTAATTCAAAACGTTTAAATTACGAGGAGTAAATTGTTTACGTTAGGCTTGTTTATTTTTTTTTTTATAGGACTTTTAATATGGTGAATAAAGGGAGCTGAAGTCACATCTATCACGTACAACAATTCATCTGGAAATATTTTAAGAAAAGTATATAATTTAATTATACATATATATATATTACGATGACAAATCAGCGGCCGGTCTCTTGCGGATTGGATTTTTGCTGTGCAGTAAATCTAAACGATTGCTTAATTTACGCAAATGACTCGAAGTAAGTTGTTATATCGACATTACATTCTATCATATTTAATCGTCATACTTTTGGCGTATCTATATTTGACGCAACCTCTGCACGTATATTAATACTTTTACTCATGGTTTCAGGTTTGACTTTATCTGTGCCCCCTTAGTTCATCCTTTATTTAAAAGAGAATTCGTTTCTGGTCCTGCCAAAAGTCGTCCGGGGCCGTTTACTAGGCCTGACTTAATTTTAAGCAGTTCAGGTATAAATTAAATATAATTATATACATATATATTTGTATCAATTGTATCAGTGGTCGACATTAGATGCAACTTTTGGCTGGATCATCTGTTGTGTCGATGCCCATTAGATTCTCCTTACCATCTTGTTTCAGAAGCGATGATATTATACGTATGAATGGAATCGTACTTTCTACAGCCGAGCTGTTGTAACATTTTTTCGGTATAGCTGCTCCTCAGACAAAGGGTTGCAGCCCTTAGTTAAGCGCATCTTTATTAAGATGTGAGCAACAAGGAGGAGATAATGGGCACAAAAATCTAGCCGAAAGTTGCATCCGAAAGATGCTAATCACTGAATTATATCGACTTTAAATGAACAAGTCAACTTCTGTATTACGTTGCAGACTGGAATAATTTAATAATTGGAAAGTTTTCGCCACTTATCAATGTTGACTCGATCAATCCAATTATTAGAAAAAATAGCGAAGAAACCTTAAATCAGGAATTGAGCTTAGCTAGTCATTTTGGTTTGTCAGGAGTGACTTTGAAATTAAAAGGTGGGGTAGAGAAAAATACGAATCTCGCAAGGATTATTTCTGACAAAATAGCAAATAACAATTGTACTTTCCAGGTAACACATGCATACACACTCATACATAGAATACAGTTATAATTTGTAGTTTTAATTTTCATAAATTAAAAGACGCTCAACAAATATAAAAAATATACTCTTAAACATGAATATTTTAAAACATGAGCAATATCATTTACATTAAAAATCAAAGAAATATGTATATTTATCAATATAGACAATATAAAATCTCTCTATAATCTGCAGAAGTATGAATTTATTTGAGATAAACTGATATAAATTGTGAAATTAAGGTATTCTATTATTATTATAGGTATGGGTACAAGTTCCTATGGAGAATCCAATTAGGCAAACCTATTCTTATAGAACAGAGGATTGTCCGGTAGAAGAGAATCCATGGGAATGGTGGAATGCCTTTAGAGTAGTATGTGATTACAATAAAAGATTAGGGATTGCGTTAGTTGTCAGTCATGACTTACCGGAAGAAGAAGAGGTAGGCTTACAGACTACATTTACAAGTTAAAATTATGCGACACGAACACAATACGTATAAGTCTTAATTTGAATTCAAATTTAAAAGATTGACAGATGGCTTGGAGAACCAGTGAGATGTTTGGTTTTACCGACAACGTTGTTTCTAACGAATAAGAAGGGATATCCAGTACTAAGTAAAGCACATCAAGCGTTATTGAAAAAATTTGCTGTGCTGGAAGTTCAATTCATTTTAACAGGCGCGTCGCGTTATCAGAGTATTAGTTATTACCATAACTATCTTGATTATTTATGGAAGGTAAAAGGAAATTGTATAATATTGTCTACAAATAAGAAATACTTTGCGAGAATTTTTTAGATCATTGGAAAAATCATTTTTATCTTTTTTTTTTTTAGGGATGTCAGAGTGATGGAACAGTGGAGAAATTTGCTCGAGGATACGAGGACTATCTGCAGTGTCCGTTACAGCCTTTAATGGACAATCTTGAGTCACAAACTTATGAAATATTTGAGAAGGATCCCGTAAAGTATCGAGAATATCAGAGTGCAATATACGAAGCTATTAAAGCAATGGTATCCAAGATGAAGGAGGAGGAAAGGACGATGTAAGTCAAATCATATCGCAAGGTAATTTCCATAAAAGAATGTATGACGAGATTGTAAATTTTTAGTGTCATTATGGTGGTTGGTGCTGGAAGAGGACCAATTGTAACCGCATCTCTGAATGCCGCGGAAATGGCCTATCGACAAGTGAAAGTATACGCAGTGGAGAAGAATCCTAATGCTGTGATAACGTAAGATTCATCTTAAAATAACAATTATATTGAGTTGGATAAAAATCTCTTTTTTTTTAATAAATGGTTTTTATTAGATCTTATTGAAATATGGAGATTCTCACCAAACGGATCATTTCCTTTATATTTCTTTAGTCACAGCGTTAAATTTTCAATCCTCTTACAAAATTGAGGCATACACGGGGTGACGATCGGATTCAAACTTGGGATCCCTTAACTAAAGGTCAAATCGCTCTTACAAGAAGCAACGCGTCACCCCGATTTTTATTAAATGTAATATAATTATATACTCGATGAAGAGAAATATAAAGCCAGTTTAAAAATGACAAAAAGTGATCGGAAAGAAAGAGTCAATATCTTATTTGATAAAGTATGATTTTATTTCAACTTGAATTTTTTGAAAAAATAAATTAGAAGATTAAATAATAATTAAAAAAAAAAATTAGAAGATTTTCCAACTTTATATATTCAGGTCTTATATGATCATGAATTATATACTCATTTTATTTCATCATCTATATTTACAGTTTACAAGCCCTTCAGAGAGATTTGTGGAAAGAAAAAGTTACAGTAGTATCATGCGATATGAGAGAATGGAATCCTCCGGAAAAAGCTGACATCATCGTGTCTGAATTACTCGGGTCCTTTGGCGATAATGAATTGTCGCCAGAATGTTTAGATAATGTCCTTAAATTCTTAAGAGGTTTGCATTGCACGCTATATTAAATTGTATTAATGATATTAATCTTTTTTTTTTACTAATTTGAAATCTTTTTTTTTATCTTTAGACGATGGAATTAACATACCGCAATCATATACTTCGTACATAGCTCCTATTCAATCCTCTAAATTGTACAATGAAGTGAGACAGCTCAGAGATAAAGATAAACATCCATTAGCTCATTTTGAAACTCCATACGTAGTACATCTTCAAAATAAATACGATATAGCAAATCCGAAGTCACTTTTTACATTCAAACATCCGAATCCAGGTTTGTATAAAGTATCCACCAACTGTTTATATTTTAATTTTAATATTTTAATATCTCTATGTTTATTTTTTTTTAGATGCTGTTACTGACAATTCGAGATATGAAACCACGACTTTTCAAGTGGAACAGAACTGCGTATTGCACGGATTTTCAGGATACTTCACAGCGATTTTATATGAAAATATCACACTAAGCATAGAACCTAGCACGTATAGCCCAGATATGTTCAGTTGGTTCCCAATCTTTTTTCCACTTAAGGTAAACTATACTAATAACATTTTTTTCTTTTTAAGATATACTTGCAAAATATAAACTTATTATAGATAAAAAATATTTATTAACACAGGAACCAATACAATTGAAAGCGAAAGATGAAGTAGTGGTCCACTTCTGGCGCAGATGTGGTTCTAAGAAAGTGTGGTATGAATGGTGCCTCAGCAAACCCATTCCAGTTCCAATCCACAATTCACTCGGACGTTCTTCCATTATCGGATTATAATGTAACGATTTTGTGATTATTCCTTGCTCATTTAAGAACTTCCCGATAATGCATACAATGATTATACTTAAGTACCAATTATTAGATAGTTTTTTTTAAACAAAATGTTGGAAAATCTTCCAATTCCAGACAGTATTATGCGAATGTTTCTAGTATTTCTGCATTATTTCAAATTTGTTAAATTGCTTGGTACAACAATATAAAGTCAAATGTAATTAGAATTTAATTTGAATAATTACGTCGTATTTATTACGACGTAAATGACGTAAATTGACATAAATTGATTTGAATTTATTACGTACAATTAACATAAATTTTTTTATTTGCAATACATGTGAATGACGCAGCAAACGTTTGTGGAAAAATATTTCAAAATATTAATCGGATATTTGTTTCACTTGCGCTTCGAAGATATTGTGCTCAGATGTATTTCCTTGTCACGTGGTATTTATTTAGCATTCAGGTAATAGTCATTGATGGTGTGAAACGATAAGGAATAGAGGAAAGCGTACTCATATGTAGTTGTGTGAAAAATATGTGAATATTTTCTTTATTGCAAATGATTTTTTATGTGCTATAACTGTGAATCTCTAGACTGCGATCCGATTCACGCTCACAACGCTCTTGGAATCGTTTCATCCTTGTTGCTTATGAAATGTTAAACAAGAACAAATAATGTGTCTCACGAGATGCTGCGAACGTGAATTGGACCACAGTCTTAGGATACGCAGTCAAGCTGAGGCTACAAATGCTTTGAAGCATTTTCTGATTGGTCAATTTGTAAAATTTTTTCTTCTGATTGGTTAATCAAATGGTTAAAAGCGTTTGTTGCATCAAATTGACGGCATCCTTAATATGACGCTGATATCTGAGGTTACTGATATTCATTGAGGTCACTGATACTGTAGAATTTTGATAACATGTATTACGAGATATTCCCGAAGCATACTATTGCTGTCCTCTTAAACTCACGTGATTTGAGAATCATTGTCTAAAATCTATATATTGTAACATTGATATTAAGCCAAATATTGTCCACATAATAATTATGAACGTGCATAGTGTACAGTTTATAATGAATTTCTACTTCTTGACAAATAATCTTCTTTTATATAAATGCCTCTGATTTATTTATCAAAAAAAATTATTAAAATCCCGAATTATTATGTGTGTAAACTTAAACTGTCAAACTCACTTCATTGTAGTTGAAACACAAAAAAAATAGCAAAAAATACATGTAATAATATTGTTAAAGATTTTTGGAAATCAACTTAGAGGACCAAAAAAAGTATTGCCATTTATAACTTGAAACAAAGAAATTCTTATATTTTGCTCACTAGCATTAATTCTAGTGTATAGAACCAGAGAACACTCTAATTCCAAAATAAATGACGACTATTCTATCATTTATATTTTATAAGTTCCCAGACACTCTTGAGAATAAAATAAAACATTTTAATAAAATTTTTTTTATTTTGGTAATATAATTACAATTTGGTCTTTTTTAAGCTTTTTTAAACTTATAAAATAACAAAAAAATATCATGTATAATATATTGCTTGGAAAACTTAATTTACAATTTTTTCTCACCTCAAAAAATTTTCCTTTTGCTTTTATTGCAGCCTTATATTTTGAACATTCTGTTAATTAATTTTTCTAATGTACTTAATAATATTCCTCCAGGCACTGACTTTTTGACGCTGCCAAAGTTCTGTAATCCATGAATCTACTTTTTTTACTTCTATTACTTAAAAAGATTTTAATGAAAAAAATTATATAAGTTTTTCAGACAACATGTATGATATTCTTGTTATTTTATAGTCAAAAAGACTAAATTACGTCCCAAAATAAAAAAAAAGCCGTTAGAAAATATTCTATTTTACAACAGTTTTAAAGATATCTGAGGGATTTGATGCGGTGGTGTATATAAATAAAATATAAGAGGATTTATTATTAACAATTATGTACTTCAATTACATGGTCAATATATAATAATTTAAAGTATTGATGATTACATCAAAAAATTTAAATTATTATCTATTTAGTAAAATAGGAAAACTATCCCGACGTTAATCGAATGTAATTATGCAAGGTCAATTCGCTTGATATCTCCTTTTATTGTAAAGCGAATAATTGAGAATAATGTGATAATATACAAATGCAAAGCTACATTAATATCGTAACACAATTGCTTTTTATTTTATTAGAAATTTTGTTATAGGATTCCATTTAGCGTTTATGTTTATTTTTCGCAAGTAAAAAAATTGTGCGCGTGTAGTTCTTTAAGTTACTTTAACATTATTTAATTACGTCCAAAATTACATAATTATATAATTTTAAATTTCAGTCTGCTGATCTCGTATAACATATAGATTCTGCTTATGTATTCATTCCTTTTTATTTAATTCGTTGAAAAATCGTAAATTTACAATTTACGTCCGACTCGCGCAGTTTGCGGCTAATCATTCCTAGAGGACGACATAATTTAACGAAGATATCTAAGCGTCATTTACTGCTGACGATGCTGGCTGATAGCGGAAATTATAAAACTAATAAAACCGACTCTCGATTGCTCAAGGACTGCGCCAGGTCATTTGTTGCCATTTGTGTTGCAATTGTACTTGCGATTGTACGTACATCGCGTGCGCGCAATCACGTGTTTGTTTTTCGGGCCGAGAAAAGCAGATTGAGATTTAAAAAAAGAGATTTCATTTTCGATCACTTCTGGCGAGAGAGAGAGAGAGAGAGAGAGAGAGAGAGAGAGAGAGAAGTTAGAACGTGTGTCGTCTCGATACCGCTTGCCACACGAGCGTCCGCTCGTTTTGAATACTCGGTTCGATTAAATTTCCGAGACGCGCGATAAGAGAGGAGCCGATAACGGGGGAGTAGAAAAGTGCCGCGGCTCGGAATCGTGATCTTCGTCTCTCGTTATTCCGTCCGGGAATCCGCTCCGTTTTGCTCGCGCGTCGCGGACCTCGCACAGAGTGGGAAAGAAAGAAAAGAGAGAGAGAGAGAAAGAGAGAGAGGTTAGGTGATCTCGTGCACAACACGGTCTCGCTCGCACGGTCGGATCGGCGACGAGGGAAGAATGGCAAGGTTGATCGTCCAGGTCGGCAGACGCGCGGCGAAGACCCTCGTCTCGCACGGCGGCGGTCTGCTCGATTCAGCCGCGAAGTCGGGGACGACGAGGATACCTCTCGCCGTGGCCGCGCGATCCATAACCACAACTCGTTGCTTGAGAGACGGTAAGTGCCGGAGGCTCGACGACCCGAGATCGCAGCTGACTTTTGAGCCTTTGAAAGAAAATACATGCGTGTTTACAAATATTTGCGAAATAATTTGGCCACGGGGTACCGTCTGTTGCGAGTTTTTTTCTCCGCGTCCTCGTCCTTTCGGGTGTAAATATAAATATGAATGAGTTGATATATCGATCAATGCGCGAGGAATTTAAATTGGTTTATACACGCGCGCGTGTGTATGTAACGCATATGTATAAATATTACATAATATGTATATTATTTTGACACAATAATTATGTAAAAGTAATTTTAAATAAATATGTACATGTAAAACTTTTCAGTTAAAAAAACAATAGGAGCAAGTTCGATCGAATTCCGATGTGCCGCGCGTTTAATTCGACCGGCAGAATTGTTTAAATTCAAGTAAAATTTCTAACTGCAATTTCTCGCTTCTATAATTTCACTTATTTTGACGTACTGACCAAAAATTAATAATTCTATTTGTGTCAACAAAATAATTTTGACGTACTGATAAAAAATTAATTCTATTTGTGTGAATAAAATAATTCAGATATTACTTAATTGAAAAATGTATTAAACTCACTAATTCGATCAAATTTATCAATCGAAATTCGATCGAAGTCAAACTAGACTTTGATATACTCTCATGTATTGTTACGTTTTTTTTTTTATTCTCTCGGTACAAATACTTAGAATTTAGATTATGTAACTTGTATCAATCTTCAGTGATGCAACTTAAATCGAATCGTAGTTGCGAGATAAACGTATGATTTTTCAGAACGATGGTACACCGATAAGCACGAATGGATAACGGTGGACGGCAAAATCGGTACAGTCGGTATATCGGATTACGCGCAGGATGCACTCGGGGATGTGGTGTACGCGCAGCTTCCCGACGTAGGATCCACGATCAAAAAAGACGGTAGCTGATGATGATATACGATTTCCCCTCACTTTTCTAGCGCGACAAAATTTCGGAAAAGCTTCAAAAATTGTAAAGATTGTCTCTAAAGGCACACCGGAATCTCTCTTCGAAAAAAAACTATTTATATTATTCTAACTTTAGTACTGTATATAATATACTTTTTTCTTATTTTTAAAAATTAATTACGAGACTCTAAATTAAAAAGATTGTCTCTAAAGGCACACTGGAATGTCTCTTCGAAAAAAAAACTATCCATTATTCTAACTTTAGTACTGTATATAACTTTTTTTATTTTTAAAAATTAATTATAACAAGATTCTAAATTGAAAAGATTGTCTCTAAAGGCACACTGGAATGTCTCTTCGAAAAAAAAACTATCCGTTATGCTAATTTTAGTACTGTATATAACACTTTTATTTTTTAAAATTAACTATAACGAGACTCTGATAGATATATAATCGAGAAAAGAAAATGAAATAATAAAAGCCAAAGCTGTTGTTAATTATTATTGGCTTAGGCTTTGACTTATTTAATTTTCCTTTCCTTTCATTTGTAAAAATTTCGAACATCCCATACAACGTAATCTTTACATTTAGAATAGAAGTGTATTCGAAATGTTTTTCACAGATCACGTAACTATCATTTTTTTAGAGGAATGCGGAGCCCTGGAATCGGTGAAGGCAGCCTCAGAACTGACAAGTCCGGTCAGCGGGAAAGTTACGGAGAAAAATGAGGCGGTTGAAAGTAAACCCGGGTTAATTAACAAATCTTGTTACAAAGACGGTTGGCTATTCAAAATAGAGTTAAGCGATTTAGACGAGATCAAGAGCCTAATGAACGAGGAGGCTTATAATACGTTTTTAAAATCAGATCCGCATTAAATTTATATGCTAGAAAAGAATTTGAACCAAATTGCTAATATATTCTAACAGGAACTGTATTTTCTGCTTGAAGATATCATTCGAGAGATTTAATGGACTTATTGAAACACACACGAAAGACATTTTATAATTACTTGATCACGCATGATTTAACTGAAAGTTGAATAGAAATTGTTGCGCAATTTAATGTGGATTGCAGAAAGATGTAGTTTGTCCGATTATTTGTACGTCAACGATAATTCATACAAAATCCAAAAATATGCTGCGTATTCACTATAAATATATCATTCCGTTTTATGGAAAATAATGTTATATTTGCACTTTGATCACATTGAGAGCAATCACAACTGGAGTTACACATATGTCATTTCAGTAGTTTTATAAGTAACAGAAATGTTAATTTATGAAGAAGTTAGTGTATTAAGCAAGCAAACATTTAACGTTTTTTTTTTTTCAAATACATCATAAATATGATCTTAATCCATGTCGGAGTGATGTCGAAAATTATTTACTGCAAAAATTAAAACAAGTTACATGTTAGCGAATTATAAACAACTGTACAAAATATAGTTCAGTACAGAAATTTTAATGCGTAAAAAGATGTTGTATGTAGCACAAGTCAAAAATTAGTATTGATTGCGATAATTGCAATATTTTTATTAGTCACTGTGCAACGTTCTTCATTTTGTATTTATACAAAGCAAACAAATATAGATATATATGCATATATATATATGTTGTTTGATAATACATGAATAATAGCATTCGAGTTACAAATTATGATACTATTCTTTTTTTTTTTTCTTTTCCGAGCGCACAAAGATTTTGGAAATTTTGTAACAATTTTACATCCTAATAAGAGACTGAATAATCGCAAGAGATATTTTCGAATCTCACAAAATGGTATACCGATTGATCTTACGCACTATTTTTGACTCTCCTCCGAAATATTTCGTAATCTTGTAGCAATCCTTAAGTTCCGAAATGAGGGAAGTAATATCGCTATGGGTTTCAACCGATATAATATATAAAAAATAGTACTGTCAGCTCTCTAGAAAGGAACCATTATCTGTTAATAATAAAAATATATTTACAGTCAATTAATTTTTCTACATAATTTACAATTGCCAACTGCTAATGGCAGTGTTAACAACGCATAATTTTTTTTCCATTTAAACTTTATTCCAACGATTTTATTGAATCAAAGAATCGTGTAAATATTAAATTAGATTCATTTGCCCAATCATAATTGGTAACTGTACATATTTAACATAAGAAGAAATATACACAACGCTGTAATTGTCGTATTCACTAATTACAATGGTTAATAAAAACGTGTTGTAACAGATCGAGTCGTTAATCGGGATTTGATGTGTATATATACAGAATGAAACATTTAGAGCGTGACATATTAATATGTTTTAAGAAAATATCAATTTTAGAAGGAAACGTTTAAAAAGTAAAAGTTTTGGAATTCCAAAGAAGCCACATAGCGTCCGTAATACTTGATTCCATTTTCGCGAAACAACAATGATCATTTTTTTTTCCAATAGTATAATTCTTTTTTACAACATTTGTGAGTAAGTTTTAAGCGCATCTATATGTCAAGATTTCATACTTTTGTATTAATAGAAACATGCTCGCAAATGCTTCGGTTATTTTACAACGTGTATTCCTCATAAGCTTTCACGTTTATGTTACTACATGGTTATAGAGCTTTTGGATGCTATAACTGGCGCAAAACTTACATTTAATGTTAAAAAGATTATACCATATGAATTTGCCTTGATCTCGATCCCGATCTAAATTCATTTGGAAAGACAATGATATTCCTGCATTGAGAAGCAAAAAGGAAATAACAATTTTTGTCATTTGCAGAGAAATGACATGTCTCTCTAGTGAAACTATTATCGCCGTTATTATACCCTCTTCAAAGCTTCCTGCAATATTTAGAAAACGTCTTTTCCTAAAATTAAAATTTTTAAGGAGATTAATATGCCACGCTTTATATGCCTTATTCTATATACGAAGTATTTACAGAGATAACTGATTTTGGAGTTATCCTTTTTGTTTTAGAAGAGCTATTTTTTTTCTCGATATATAATATATCGAGAACATATATAATGATGGTGTTTGCGATTAATACGACTTGTTCCAAAATTATCAGACCGACACGTTCAGCAGGAGGTCTCGAAGATGAAAGAAGACGATACAATAAATAAACGGTAGCGTAAACTTGTCTTACCCAAACAGCAATGCAATGATTTAAAGCGATATTTTTTTTTTCAAATTGCGAGACAGCAGTAACTAATACAATGGTAAAATGACAGAATTATGAACTAATTTGCAGAAAAATACAATAGTAAATAGTTAACTAAGACCTAATAACGTGTGGACATACAATGGGTACGATACTTTTTTTAATAAGTTGTATTACATCGTAGCTTCTTAACGTGTATATTATACACACTACACGAATTAAAAATATTCTGCTTATGCATGTTATACATTCATTCATTCCATTCAAATTGCTATCTGGGCGTCTATTCTGAGGTATGTGGTTACTAAAAATGTAAAAATATAAAAACTTAATACAGATATGAAGAGGTAGTCATTCGTGTCGTGAATTAAATAAAAATATTTTTCTTTCTTTTCAAAGGAGGCGTTATTATAGATGGGAAACAATGATAAAGTCTAGGCTGCTTTTAATTTCGTGTTTTAACATGAAAAAACCGGACGATTTGAAAATTTGGGAACATTAGCATATTCTATATCGGCGTGCAAGGTCAAACAGCCGACAGGTGGACACAAATCTTTGCTCGCGCGATAAGTACATGCGGTGCCCTCGAGAAAACATTTGATTACCATTGGCAATAGTAGCCGTTACTGTTCCTCTTGATTTGATTTAACACTCGAGTCTTAATCTAACATGAGACATCAATGTTCCAGTGCTTACCAACAAGCACTTTACACCTATATAGTTAAATGTATTGAAAGATCGGTGGAAAAAGTGAAAGTAGTAAAATAGCCTTTCTTTTGCAGCAGGTACGTATTTGATACGTGAATTAAAAACAAGAGGAGCGGCAACGGATAATATCCAATTTACCAGTGCAAGGAAAGATTTCTGTCTCTGTTGTCACGTTTAAACTTTGCATCTGACACAATATGTAATTTCCAATGGCTTCAAATACCACAGGCGTCAAAAAGACAGCCTTCACAGCACTGAAGAATTTCTGACTATTGGCTAAACAATAATAATAGTAATAATTAATAATAATAATTAATAATAATCTATTAGTGAAAAATTACTACTTTCGTTCGCTATCTTAACATTTACTAAATATCTTTTTCTATTTAACAACTGCGATACGATTAATATTATCTTATGCATTTAGAATTAATCGCTAGACAATATAGGACCACATAAACCTTGCTCCAATGATTCTTTTATTTCTTAAACAGAATCTTTATTATGGTACAACATACAATAGTAAAATATCGCAATTTGTAGTTATTTTCCTTTCCGCCACCTATTTGAAGAAGTAATAAAGAAAAAAATACATGGATAAGATCCTAAAATTAGTGAAGACATTAAGTAGCTAATGATTTTTCCTCAAGTAAGCAACAGAAATATATTTATTTCATTTCATTATTCAACTATACACAAAATATGTAATTACATATTTAACATGATCTGTACTTTACAACATAATTGGAATGTGTTAACTAGTATTTACAATATAGTAGCCCCGCTGTGTGCAAGTGTGACGAAAATGCAGATTTTTTTTTTCTTTATAGGAAATCCTAAGGATGCCCAGGTGGCCGTGCGACAAACATATATGTATATCACATGCAAGTTCATTGTCATTCAAGTATGCCCATTGAATCCCTTGCAGAAGCACGATTGATCTGGAGAGAGAATTTGATTCTCTTTTTTTTTTCTTTAGCAGTACGATAATATTTCGTTCGAGTGAGAGCAAGGCTTCAGTGTGGTATGCTTAAAAATAAATTCGCCTCTAAGTATTAGAAAAATAGCTTTACTTATTTAGACAAAAATTGCCTGCCCTTTGACCAATAGTTTTTTGTTTAACCACCCTTTGTACTGTTTTCAAGGCATCTTGCTTACTGTTTCCCTGCGCTTATACCCATTAACAGGGGTAATTCTCCACATACATCTCTAAAACTTCAACATCAAATATAGAAAATATATGTCATTGTGTTTATATATATTTAGATACACTTTATAATACATATACTATGTGTGATATATATATATATATGTATATATATATGTATGTGTATGTGTAACGTATGTAACGTATGTACGTCTATACTTGATTTGTATGCATAGGTATTTCATGAACCAGGGCCCCTTTACTTGGTCCGATACCTTAGCAGCGTTTTAGCTCTTAATAGGTACTTTGAGGTCCACTCTATCTCACGATTAGGGGCATTATAACAGGACTTTCAATATATATGTATATATATATTTATATATATTTATATATGAATATATATATATAAATATATGTGTGTGTATATGTGTGTATATATGTGTGTGTATGTGTGTATACGTGTAATAACGGACTTCTTTCTCATTCGATGGCAAAGATTACCAAGTAAAACTGATCGTTTCATTTTCTCTTGGCGTGAAGCATCTCCATGAGAAGCGTTTGCGTTGGTGCGCCGCCATTGCAATGTTTCTGATAAAGATGCTCCTCTCCCTTGGTTGCCACCTCGTGAATGTCCGGTAATACTGCCAGCAACTTGTTAAATTTATCCTAGATAGTTCGAAAAAAAAAGGGACAATTAAAATACCTCATTAACTCGTTTTAGGTTGTTTGTAATAAAACGCACCAGTACAGATGGGTGATTGGTTAGCGTGTGTTCCATAAGCGACTGTTGAACCTGCTCGTGACCCTCTTGCACATGCTTCTTGTTTGCTAGTCCACGGACATCTGCAATAAATTAAATATATGCATTTATGTAAAAGATGCGTATAAATTTGTGGTCTAGAGTATTACGGGATACTGTGGAATGAGAGGTGTTTATTTGAAAGTAGAACAAAGGTAAAAAAAAAAGCAAGTTACGTCGCGTCGGGTGATAAATTTCACATCGTTGATGCAAAAAGATTCTGCAACGCGACCTTTAAAGTCACGTTTTTAAAAAGCTACGTAAAACGTGACTACGCGCGGCGTCGCGGCATCGGATATCTTACCCGGCTTAATTATCACCTGTTGTCTCTGAAAGCTCATCACTTACGAGACGAAGAACGTGGGCGGATCTAATTTTACTTACCGTGATTCAGCAGCATTAGGAATTTCATGCATATATATTCGGGAACGTCGAATTTTAGTTCCTGAAGCGTTTTGGATAGTTCCCTGAAGGTTTCGGCCAAGGAAGGAACTCCGAGTAGGCCGAGACAGAGAAGATCAAACTTTTGGCCATTGTGAAGTGTCGTCTCGTCGGGTAGATTGTTGTGTAACCTGTGATGAAGGTGATCGAGCACCAACATATCCGACCAAGAATGTTGTAGCAACTTCATTTGATCGTCAACCTAGCAAATAATTGCCGTGCAAACGTTAGATACAATGAATAAATACACAGAGAAATATGGATGTAGTTATATTCCGTTTGGAACTTTAAATTTTACGTAAAAATCGATACACGACAGCATAATATAAAAAAATAATATAAAAAAATGTTTTCAGAGCTAACTAAATTCGAGAACGCATGCAACAAATGAAAAATTTTCTAAAACGAAAGAAAAGGAAATTTTTTAATAAATTAGATTCAAATAATTTTAACTGCAATTTACAAATAAATATCAATGTCTCGAATATTCGTTCGTTGTTATACCGAAAGTGTTTTTTTTTTTAATAAAAAAATACCGCAAAAATGCGGTTGATTATTTTATGGCGACAATTTATATTTATATTAAAGAAATAGAAAATAGTATTAAAAAATCTCCTTTAGAAGCGCGACATGATTTTAACAAGACTATAAGTGAAGATCAGGCGGCAATGTACCATATTGTCGACGAAAAGTTTCAACAAAATGGCCTCGGTCCGCTTTGCATCGTCGTTAACAAATCCGCCGTGTTGAAGCAAAAATAAAAAGTTATTACAAAACGACCAGTTAAAGTATGCAATTTATAATTAACGCGGTCCTGCTTTGGGGCAACCGCCATAACCCAGAAACGTATCTTGTTATGACCTAGATATGAGGCGATGCTTGAAATCATTCAGTGATTGTGCAATGCCGCTGGTTACCTCACATCCCCGCTCATGGCACCGCGAGCAGGCCAGGCAACGCGAGTTATTTATCGGTAAGAACGAACTTTTCTCATCGAGGAGATCCTCGACAAAATCGGTTGCGGTTACTTCGAACGCGCCGTTATATACGTTTGACACCTCTCTCTCACACGTTCTTTACATCAAATATCGAAATATCGCGGAAAATCTCGAATTCGCGACGACGAAGAAAAAGCAAAAAAAAAAAAAAGAGAACCTACTCAATGCGTTGTTCTAGAAAAGACCCGCGACGACCTTAGATGCCCAAGATGCTCACCTTGAGATCTTTGAAGAACGTCGAGTTTCTAGCCCAGTCTACCTGCGAAAACAAATTCTGATCGAGCACTTTGCACATTAATTCGAACAAGTCCACTTCACACTGATTATACGTTTGGCTTTGCAACAGTCCGAAGAGAGACGTCTGCCACTCGCGGTCGTCGATCGACAACATAAACTCCCTTATTATCGGGCTAAGTGTCTTGAATGCGACGGTGGGGTTGGGCGCGTAGGTCGGCACCCCGCCGCTGCATGGCTGCGCGGACTGCTCGCCGAAGTTAAAGACCTTCGTGCCGGGGGTGGTGGAGTTGGCGGCCCAGAGCTTGCTGTCCAGACCCGGGTTGAGGTTGTGCAGGTGATTGCCGCCGCCCCCGCCGCCGCCGCCGCTGCCGCCGCCGCCGCCGCCACCGCCGCTGCCACCACCGCCGCCGCCGCCGCCACCGCTGGTACCGATGTTGGGCTGACTGGATGGCGCGATCAGCTGGTGCTGGCCGGCTCCGCTGCCACTGCCGCCGCCGCCGCCGCCGGCCTGCGTCGTGACCAGGCCCGCGGCCACGGTCGCGGGGGACGGGCTCGAGTCCGGCGACGAGGTCAGACTCGAGACCTGAGGTATTTGGATCTCCTGCTTGATGTGCATCAAGGGCGCGACCGCGGAGGAGTAGCTTGCCGGGTCGCCAAGGCTGCCGCGTATCGTCTGGATCGCCAGTTGCCGCTGGCGTATCAACTGCAGCTTCCGCGCCCGATCCCTCTTGTACATGGGCCCGAATTTGTTTCTACCGCCCCGCATTCTGTCCGCCCGCACAGCTGGAACAACAGAGAGAATTGCTGATTCAGCGCCGGCCCACGGGTGCATCGCGTTTGGCGATTTATTTATCCCTCTCGCGTTTATTCTCAAAACTTTCAATTAACGTTTAAGAGTCGCGGCGTTGTACGGAGTATTTCTTATCCTTGAAATCATGCAGTATTTCTCCGTCGGGCTACACGCTGTGCGATACCGCCCGAAGGCCGAGTCGCACCTGATTTCTCATGGAATGTAGGAACTGCGAATATGGAACATATGTATTTGGACATCGAGTGAAAAAAAAATCGATTTCTTAGGCAATACCGCGAAGTATTGCTAAATGTTCTCAGCAAAATTTAATTATATTTATCTCCCGCGTTATACACTTATTGCAAACTTTACGATTCTGAACAGTCTGACGTATCATAAATGTTTTTTTAATCGTAGAAAGTATCTTTCCTCGGTGAAGATTAAATTAAATTAAATTTTTCATTTCAGAATTCGAGTAAATATTTGAAAGACTTAATTTTATACAAGTTTCAGAGGACACATAAGTGGCATCGAAGAGCTATACAATTGGAGAGGAATAGAATCGAAGGATTTTTCCCTCGCGGAGCAATCAGTCTTCAATTTCGTCTTCAATCGCGAAAAGCGATCTGACAAACAGCAATTGTGATTGTTCGCCGATTCGATTCCCGAAGAGAAATTCTCTTCCGCGCGCGATCGAACGAAGCAACCTTGGGGAAGCGCGCGCGGTCTTCCGAGTCGGACGAAAGCGGAAGTCTTACGGCTAATCGCCAGATAAGTAGGACAAAAGCGTGAGAGTGCACCGCCTGCTATTTCTGCCGTACATATGTACACGCGGCAATCAACGCGCGCGCGCGCACGCGCGCTATGCAAATCACCGTGTTCGGCACATTCCGCGCGTTTTCTACGATATATGTATATCGCTATCGCTGTCTAAAGCCGTGCCGTGCGTATACCGGCTTCTTCAAACTGGCCGCTGATAACGAGCCATCTGCCGCGCGAGATTGATCGAGTCTCGTCGTCGGGTTGTTTCGAAAACTTTGCGTACGCGCGAACGTAGAGCTGGGAATACACTCTTAACTCTTTAATGCCTGACGCGAAAATTTCCACAGCTGTACACGCGGGCTCGATTTTTCCTTCACGAATAGCACCGAGACGTCGCCGGTTGCTCTTAAATTGCATACCATCGGGAGAATAGAAATTTTCGATAAGCCATAAGCGATTATTCGTTTAAATTCACGATTTTATCTCGATAAAATGTTTAAATTCAGACGTTAATTAGAAACTTACTTAAAAATGCCAAAAAAGTCTAAATTAAATTAAAAGAACATCGTAAATTTTTCCACTTTATGAGACTGATTCAGGACTGCACCACGATTTCGCTTCCTTCACGAGGCGGGACGAACCGGAAATCATGTCTTTATCTTTACCCTTTTAAAATCAATTACAGTTGAATAACTGCTTGATGCATTCTCCGAATTTTTCAAGAGACATACGAATCGATAACGCCATCGTGGCGATATCATATTTAAACGACTCGACAAATGACTGCGACTCATTTTAACTCACAAACGAAGTTTGACGAAGAGCGGAATTTTCATGACTCTGGAGAACAGCTGATGGTCAGCTGCAGAAGCGTACGACGTACGTGCAGCGGCTTAAACGGCATACATCCATGGTCGGCCTGTAATCGCCAACGGCGCGAGGAAAATAAGCGTCGTATAATGAACGCTCGCGTAATCCGTAATTGTCGATTAGCGCGCAGGGAGCTCTCTCGCGAGCGCATTCTTTTTTTACGCTTTTTACTTGCGTCAAACGACTCGCCGCGCAATCGGGTACTTCCTGCAAAGAAACATGGCCCGCCCGGAAAGCATTTACAACCGCGAAGCGATCAGCTTCCGAAGAAATTTTCGTACGGACTTGCATTCGCGATCAAGAGACAACAGCATCTCTTTTGCTTTAACATATAAAAAAAAATATAGCGAATCGGAATAAAATTTTTCACCGAATATTTCTGAACGTAATTTAGTAATTTTAATAATTACTTGTCTCTTCATTGATGAAATCACCATAACAAAAGTATAATAAAGAATTATTTAAATTTTTTTAAATTTATTGATACTGATAATTGATGTATTTGTTATCTAAATATTAATTTTTGCATTTGTTTTTCCATCTGATTATGATTACGTTAACATTCACACAAGATATTAAAGGGACGCCTTTAATTCTTTTCTAAAGACCATTTTTTATAATGCTAGAATTTTCGTTGGCGTGTAATGCGAGGTGTAATGTCTCTCTACATTAAATTAAAATTAAAACATTGTATGGATATGTACACATTATAGTTGTATAGCGGCATTATATCTTGCTACGCCAAAATTATTTTGGGACACAAAATATCACGCATGAAATTTACGAATGCTATACCGCAAAGTTTGACGGATCGCAAATATTAACTCTGATTATTAACTTAATAATTACGGTGCACGAAGTCTTGAAATAAGTTTTGTTAGAAAACTGTGCAAAGTAAATCTTATATACTTTTACAATTGTTTTTAACTAACGTTTATTCGACTGTTATAGTAGTGCTGAAGATAACCTTTTTCAAACGCGGCCAAAATTATTAGAAAGCCAGCACCGCGAAAAAGATCATACTGCCAGAGATGTATTAAATGTTACATCTTCTCCAGTCAGGTTCACAGAAATACTCCACATCTATTTCTTGCAAGAGGAATTAGTACGTCTCTGCGTGTAATAATATAAAATCTGAAGTATATATATTGCGCGACCTTTAACTTCCTTGGAATTATTTATATGTTATGTACGCGAAATTGTAGACAGCCGAATTATATGCGGGCGTCTCCGTATATTTTTAAAGCTACATCCAACTAAAAGCTATGTACACTGAATATCCCTTTGCAACTGAAGAGTCGATGTCGAGAAAAAGATTCTTCGAGTACTGGAAAGGGGAAACGAATCTAGAGACATTCCACACGCCCATCCGCCGTAGATTAACCTCGATGTTAAAGACCCCTTTCGCCAGATCGAACCCCTCATCGTTCCCGACGACATTACAGATCTAATAAGCTACCGAGAGAGCCATCTCGCTACCTAAGAAGCTCCCTCGCAATCACGAGCTCATTCACTCCTTTTTTTTTCCTCCGCATTTTTACTGTTTCTCAGCATCGTGAGATCGAGCAGCTATACGAGACGCAGCGTCACGACGCAACGCCACCCCCTCGCGCGCCATTATCGAGGGGGATTTCGAGTCGCGGGCGCGCTCGTTCGCCTCTGAACTCTCTCGCGGGGGCAATCCGAGAGGGCCCCGGGGCTTGGCGAAAACGGGCGGCGTTGCCTATTTTCGTACTGCTCGCCGACCGTATGAAAACGGCGAACGAGGCGCGCGACTGTGCGAGCGAACGAAACGAACCAACGAACAAACGAACGAGCCAGCCGCGAGCGAGCGAGCGAACGAACGAGCGCGCGCTCGTTGAAAGTGAAAGGAGGTTGAATCGCTCTTGCCCGTCCACTTCTGTGCCTGTGCCGCCCTGCACGCCGACGTAGCCCTCCCCTCTCCCCCCCCGCCGCGGCGCCCCTCCTGTCCCTCCCGACCTCACGGTATACTACCGTCGCGCGTAACCCTCTCTCTCCCCCCCTCCCCACCCTCGCTTCACCCCCTTCGTCGCTCCACCGCCCGCTCCACATTACCGCCTCCGCCACCCTGTGTGTACCCTTCTCTCGCTCTCACGACTCTCTCGCGCTCTTCTCCTTCTCTCGCGCCATCGACTCTCTGTCCTCCCCCCCCCTCCCCTCCTAACCCTCCGTTTCCTCTCCGTCTTCCCCCCCGGCATTCGAAGTCGGCTCCGCGATACTATCGATACTGCGTGGAGTCAAGCGCGCAACGCAGCCATACCATCATCCTGCGGCCCCGCGATTTCGTTTCGGCCGGCCGGGCGAAGGCGCGCCACTCGCGCGCGACTCCCTCGGCGTTATAGCATGCATACATGCACGAATGTATGTGTATGTATTTTCACGGCTCTCCCTATTTCTCCTTCCCTCTTGTACGTCGCCGTTTCGTGACACGGACCCGGTCCTTCGTGACGCGACCGCGACACGGATCTAGGCGCGGATCTACGCTTTCGACCCTCGTGCTTAGCCCTCTTTCGTCGAATGAGAGGAAAGAGACTGGCACTAATGTTTCCCGAACGGATTCGTAAATCGCCTGTAATTCGCCAGAAATATCAAAATGGTGTGTTTTTATTACATTGTACACGTCCCACCCCCCCTCCCCGAGGAACTTTTCAAATGCAAATGTGTAGTCGACTTTAGACTTCAGACAAAACTGACTTGCATAAAAGTACACATTACCTATTATCGTTGTTAAACTTCAAACTTCGTTGTATTTATGTATCCATCTCGTTTAAATATCTTTAAAGAGTCATAATAGAATAATGCTTCAAAGCGTAATTTTAGTGAAACACGAATCTTGGAAGAGTTGTATACATTTATAGAAAATTACCGCCACGAATCTCTATTAAATCTCCAGGTGTTTTATCTAAATCCATTTAGAAGAGGATCATTCTGACATTTCTTTGTATCGGCAAATTCTCTTAATTATTGCCCCATTCGTTAATTTCGCAAAACTATGATTGTGCGACATACGCGAGATTGAGTGGTTCAAATTAAGCAACTTAATGCCGTTAATCAAATTATTGCATTATTCGTCAACGAATCACAACAATGACACAAAACTAACAAAATCTCGGCTCGCGCGATCGTGGTATATTAGCATTGTTGTATCCTTATTGGTATCGCAACGTTCCTCCATGCTGTTTACGTTCGTATGTTTACACACTTTCGAAATAACCCAATTCGCGGATCGTATTGGCGAGGCAGTGTGCCTCGCACGCGTGGCTTAGCACGCGGATCACGCTGGCGCACGTGCGTGCAACGTTCTTGTTTCCCTTTCAACTTTCTGAAACGCTTTCAGACA